ATGTGCTGCTGGAGTTCCAGAAGTGGCTGGTGTTGGTGGAGAGGCAGACGAAGAAGTCGGTGCTCATGCTTCGCTCCGACCGGGGAGGGGAGTTCCTCGGGAAGCAGTTCACCGACTTCGTGGATGGGAAGGGGATCGTCCACGACCTTACCTGCCCGTACACCCCGCAGCAGAATGGCATGGCGGAGCGGGAGATGAGGACGGTGGTGGAGTCGGTGCGGACGATGCTGCTGCACATGGGCGTCCAGCACCACTGGTGGCACCTCGCTTTGCGGCACGCTGTCTGGGTCCGCAACTGCCTGGAGAGGTCGGCGACGCCGGGGACGACACCGTACCAGTTGCTCACCGGGAAGAAGCCCGACTTGTCGCTGGCGCGCGTGTGGGGCTGCATGGCGCAGTTCCTCGTCCCCGAGCAGCAGCGTGGTGGGAAGCTGAAGCCGAAGGCCAAGTGGGGCCTTCACCTTGGCGTGTCGGAGGCGAGCAAGGGCTGGGAGCTCCTCGACATCGCTGACAACCGGGTGGTCACCACGTCGGACGTGGTGTTCTACGAGGACATGTCGCTGGAGGTGTGGAAGTCGGAGCACGGGCCGGTGTCAGGACGGACACCGACCACCCTGCCAACTGACACCTCGCAGGCGACGCTGCCTCTGCTCGCGGAGGTCGGTGAGCTCGCTGCTGGGGACATCGAGGTCGACCATCCTCCTTCCCCTCCTCCCACGACCCCTGTTTCTCCCCTCGTGGCCAACCTGCGTGAACTGACTCCGATGTCGGCCTCCGGCGATGAGGGGAGTAGTGGGACGTCGCCTGCGGCCAAGAGCATCGCCGGTGGCCGACGTGACGAGCGGCAAGCCGACGTGGGAGTGCAGGTTGAGGAGGAGCAGGTCGAGCAGGTCGAGGAGGAGCAGCCGGCAGGGGAGCAGGCAGCAGTGAAACCGACCACGGAGCCGTCGGCAACCGGGCGGTCGGCAGGGGAGCCGACCACAGGGGAGGAGTCGGCCAGGAAGTCGACTGAGCTGCAGCAGGACGACGAGGGGGAGGACGCCGAGGAGTCCACCACGAGTGACAGGTTCCGCCTGAACCCCGGAAGTCAGGTCGGCTTCGGAGGCCACCCGATTTCTTCGTCTTCGCTGCCTTCACCATGGTGTACGATGTGGACGACGACGACCTGGCGTACGACGACGCCGAGGAGGATGAGGAGTTTCCGGAGCTCGACCCCGACATGCAGGCCGACCCTAAGCACCGCTGGGACATCTCGACGATGACGGTGAAGGAGGCCTTGGCGAGCTGGAAGGGCCCGGCGGTGAAGGCCGCCATGGAGGAGGAGATCCGCAGCCTCATCAACATGGGCACTTGGGAGCTGGTCGAGCGCCCACCTGGAGTGAACATCATGAAGAACCGGTGGGTGTTGACGACGAAGTACCGCATCGACGACACCGTCGAGCGCGAGAAGGCGAGGCTGGTCGTGAAGGGCTTCACGCAGGTGTATGGCGCCGACTACGACGAGACGTACGCGCCGGTGAGCAGCTACGTCACGCTGCGGATCTTCCTCAGCATCGTCGCCGTCCTCGACCTCAACCTGATGCAGCTCGACATGAAGAACGCCTTCCTGCAGAGCAAGCTCGACCGGGTGCTTTACATGTACCAGCCGGACTACTTCAATGACGGGACCGGCCGGGTGTGCAAGCTGCTGAAGAGCCTCTACGGGCTGAAGCAGTCGCCGCTGTTGTGGTACAAGGCGCTCAACGACGTGCTGGTCGGCGCTGGGTGGAAGAAGAGCCAGGTCGACGAGGCTCTGTACTTCAAAGTCGGCGTCGACGAGGGTGCCTGCTGGGTGCTGGTCTACGTCGACGACCTGCTCGCCGCCAGCAGCAGCACCGCGATGTTGAAGGAGCTGAAGGAGCTGCTGGAGGCCGCCTTCGAGCTGCGCGAGATCTCGCCGGTGCAGAAGTACCTCGGGCTGGAGATCGTGCGCGACAGGCCAGCGAGGAAGCTGTGGCTGCACCAGCATGGCTCCGCCGACAAGCTGCATAGGCGCTTCATCGACGAGAAGCAGGGCGCTCGGACTCCGATGACGCCAGTCTCGGTCGACGCCTACGCCAAGCTCACCTTCGACGACGAGGGGGCTCAGGAGCGTCAGGAGGAGGAGTACCGGCAGAAGGTCGGCTCGCTGCAGTTCGCGGTGACGACGACGAGGCCGGACATCGCCTTCGCCTGCAGCAAGCTGGGGAGCGGCCTCACGGTGAGGAGCGACCAGCACTAGCGCGAGGTCGACCGCTGCCTGGCCTACCTCGCCAACACGCGAGACACCGCCCTGGAGTTTGGCGGTGGACTTGAGTCGCTGGAGCTAGTCGGCTACGTGGACGCCGACGACGCCGGTGACAAGCAGAGCCGGACGAGCACGGGCGGCTATGTGTTCGTCTACGGAGGGGCCGCGGTCTCCTGGTCGAGCCAGCGCATCAAGTGTGCGACGCTGTCGTCGACCGAGTCGGAGTACGTGGCGGCCGTCGAAGCCGGCAAGGAGGGACGCCGACTTCGCTTCCTCCTGGCAGAGTTCCGGCAGCTGGACGCTGGAAGGCCGACGGTCCTGAGGGTGGACAACAAGTCGGCCATCACGGTCGCCGAGGGCATGGGGTTGACAGGCAACCTCAAGCACATGGAGCGGCGACAGGCTTGGCTGCAGCACATGGTGAAGCGGGGGAAGTTTTCGCTGCAGTACATTCCGACCGCTGAGCAGCCGGCCGACTTCCTGACGAAGGCGCTGCACTATCCGGCCTTCAACCGGTGCTCCGTCGCAATCGGCCAGGTGCGCTTGGACGACGTGGGCGATGGTGACGATGACGTGCAGCAGTAGGTGCCATGCCCTCTTGCATGGCTGGTGCGGTGGACGACGTGCTGTGTGTTGGGTGCACGTCGACGAGCTTTTCTCAGAGAAGTACTGCCATGTGGGCTGCGGGCCCAAGTTGTGTGTTGGCCCCGTCCTCGCTTGGGCGGAGCTGACTTCCTGGTCGGGTGTAGCCGACCTGCAGCAGTGGGCGAGCTGGTCGACGAGGAAGTCGACCTGCACGGGTGCCACTGCATGGGCGCCGACGTCGGGATGGCGCCGACTCGAGGGAGGTCGACCTGGGAAGTCGACCTGCGGAGGGCGTCGACTTGGTGACGCCAACTTGGGGCAGCCGGCTTGGGTGGTCGGCTGACAGAACGTCGACCAGGTTGGTCGACCAGGCCTGCTGGTCGACTTGGTGGCTGGTCGACCAGGCGTGATGTCGACCTGGCGGTCGACCGAACGTGATGGTCGACGTAGGAGGGGCCGATGTCGACCTCGACAGACGAATTCAGGACGCCGAGCTACGGGGCGTCGAGTAGCAGCGCGTCAACTTGGTGACGCCGACTTCGGGTAGCCGACTTTGGGGTCGGCTGACAACTGTGCTGGTCGACGAGGAGCTGGTCGACCAGGAGTGACGTCGACCTGGAGCTGGTCGACCAAGAGGTAGTGGTCGACCTGGTAAGGTCGACTTGGGGTGGTCGTCGACTTGGGAGGTCGACGGGCACATACAGGAGCAGCTGGTCGACGTGGTTGCCCGGTCGACCAGGTTACCTGGGTGACGAGGTTCTGCGGAAGAGTGCGACGGTCGCCCAGGTGGTTTTGGCGAGACCGACCTTGGTGGTGGTATCCCGAGGTCGACGTGGCTAATCAGAAGCAGTCGTCAGCACGAAGTTGACGTGGTGTGTGCGCTGTGCAGGTGACGAGGCACTGCACGCCAATCACCTGCGAGCACCTGCGAAGCGGGTGCGCTGCTGTCCTGCAGGAGCAACGTTGGCACGCCGTCAACCTGCGACGTTGGCACGCCGTCGACTTGCAGCGTTGGCAAGCCGCGCCTCTGCACTGCTGGAGCGCGGTCGACCAAGTCGTGCTGGCACGCGGTCGACCATGCTGCGCTGGCAGTAGCCTTGCTTGCATGCTAGCTCTGATGTAGTCTAGTCTTGCCAACTTCATTGTACCATTTTATTGTCAAACTTTCCTAGTGAAACTCTTGCCAATTCTCCCTGTGAACTAGCAAGTAGTGTGAGCACTTGGAAACGACTAAGGAACAAGTGAACGCAGAGATCACACATGTCAAACATTATATGTTTATATGGTTGTAGGCTGTAGTGGGTTACGCCTTAGGGGGTACACTGGATTAGGGTTTCCTATTTGTATCCAGCCTTCTGTTAGTACAGTCATTCCAGTCCGTTCATTCTGACATGGTTTCAGAGCAGGTCCTTCGCTAGGACCTAACTTCTCTTCGGGCCCACCACTACCTACTACCTACTACCTACTAGCGCCCTCGTGCGCCCTACTATCGGAGTGCGCTTTAGCGCCTCCCCCCTTAGCGCCCTCGAGCGCTTTCTTTTTTTTTTCCCGGCCCCGCTGGCCCCGTCGATCGCGCCCCGCTTAGAGGCCCCGCGGCCCCGTCGCGCCTCGCCTAGTGGCCCCGCGGCCCCGTCGAACTCACGCGCGCCCCGCTTACGGCCCCGTCGACCCCACGCGCACCCCGTGTAGAGGCCCCGCGGCCCCGTCGTCCGCCACCACACGGAGGCCCCGTCGACCCGCGCGCGCCCCGCTTACGGCCCCGTCGACCCCGCGCGCACCCCGTCTAGAGGCCCCGCGGCCCCGTCGCCCGCCACCACACGGCCCCTCGACCCCGCTGCGCCCCGCTTAGCGGCCCCACGGCCCCGTCGAGCCCCGCTTAGAGGCCCCGCGGCCCCGTCGCCCGCCACCACACGGCCCCTCGACCCCGCTGCGCCCCGCTTAGCGGCCCCACGGCCCCGTCGAGCCCCGCTTAGAGGCCCCCGCGACCCCGTCCCGCCCCTCTTAGCGGCTCCGCGCAGCCGCGCAGCCCGAACCGAGCCGCGCCGCCCTACCTGAACCGAGCCGCGCCGCCCGACCGAGCCGCGTCGACCGTTCTAGCAGCCCTGTTGATCCTACTACTACTCCTACTGCTCCTACTGCTACTGTCACTATGGCTAGTCCGCCAGTTCTAGCTTTCGATGCCGAGGGCCGTCCAGTGAAGTTCGAAACCTGGCTCGATGACCTGCACCTGTTCCTACAGCTCACTGCCAAGGAAGATATCTCACTGTACGACCACGCCCTAGGCCATGCCACTGCCCCTGACTCGACTGCTGACAGCACTCTGCGTTCCCAGTGGCAGACCCGTGATGCGCATGCTCGCTTTGCTATTCGCAACTCCCTGCCGCTAGACGAGCGCGAGCACTTCGGCCAGTGCAAGACTGCTAAGGACCTCTACACCGCTGTAGTTGCCCGCTACTCCTCACCCGCTTCTGCCACGCTAGGCCGCCTCACTCTCCCCTACCTGTTCCCCGACCTAGCCTCCTTTCACACTGTTGCAGACCTCATCACCCACCTTAAGACTAGTGAGGCCCGCTTTCGCGCTGCTATGCCTGCCGAGTTTCTCACTAGCAACCCCCCCCCACTCTGGATCACTCTCTACCACATCGTCACCCGCCTCCCTGACTCTCTGCGCGCAGTCAGGGACCACTTCCTCTCTCGCTCCCCCACTGAGCTCACTGTTGCCCTCCTCGAGAAGGAACTGCTTGCAGCTGAGGCGAGCATCGTCGCTGTAGGCACCTCTCGTGGCGACCCCCGCACCCCGTTCTTTGAGGGGTGTTCCCCTTCCCCCCTCCTCCCCTCTGTCGCCTCTGCTGCTGCTGTCGACCTTCTTGGTGCTGAGAAGGTCGGGACCGCGTCTGCTTCGAGCGGGCGCCGCAGGAACAAGGGGGGCAGGGGTGGGGGTGGTGGCGGAGGAGGTGGGGGTGGAGGCGGTGGGAGTGGAGGCGCGGCTGGGGAGACTAGTGGCGGCAGTGGGGGAGGAGACAGCAGCGGTGGGAGTGGTGGCGGAGGCGACAGCGGAGGCGGAGGTGGTCGTGGCGGCGGCAGGGGTGGAGGTGGCCGGGGCGGCGGCGGTGGGGGTGGTGGTCGTGGAGGCACTGGCGGAGGGCAGAGTCAGCAGCCCGCCCCGACGCTTCAGGCCGCCCGTGAGTGGTATGCGCAGCGTAGCGTTATCTGCACGTACGTCATTCGCACAGGTGACCGCAGCGGCCAGCAGTGTGGGAGACCGCACCCCACGCAGCGCTGCTTCGCGCGCCTTAACGACGCGTGGCGCACTCAGTTTCCTGCTGCCACTGAGCTGCCGCGCTGGGCTGATCTGGAAAAGAGGGGTGTTGATATTTGGGCTTTAGACTTTGATGCTATTCTCACTGCCATGTATGCGATGTCTATTAGTGGAGAGGGTGCTCAGTACTTGCGTGTTCCGCCCGACCCGGGCATTCAGGCCAGTCCGGCTGCCGCTCTAGGTGCTAGTGCGTCTGCTCCCACAGGTCCTGGTGAGGCTGCTGCTCTAGGTGCTAGTGAGTCCGTGCCCTCTGGTACTGAGTCGACTGCAGCACTGCACACCTTCACACTGGACTCAGGTGCTTCTCGCTGTTTCTTTCGTGACCGCACTGTCCTTGAGCCGCTTGCTCGGCCAGTTGCTGTCTCCCTCGCTGACCCCTCTGGGGGTCCGGTCGTTGCGACCTCCTCCACTGTTCTTCCTTGTCCTGCGGTCCCGTCAGGCACACTGTCAGGCCTCTACCTCCCCTCGTTCTCTACGAACTTGGTGGCAGGTAGTGCGCTCCAGGACGGGGGTGTTCACCAGTTCACCCCTGCTTACGAGCGCGTGACCCACTGCACGTGTGCTCGGACGGGCCGTCATCTGGCTACCTTCACTCGGCAGCCGGGGTCGGACCTGTACACACTGACCACTGAGTCCCCTCAGGTAGCTGCGTCCGCGTCTGCGTCTGCGTCAGGTCAGCTGTCCGCCCCCTGCTCGTGTCGCTCTCTGGCGCATGAGACTGTCCTCTGGCACCACCGCCTTGGTCACCCGTCTGTGCAGCGCCTTCGGGCCATGCACAAACGGGACCTTGTTGCTGGTCTTCCCAGGGTTCTCCCTCCCCTCCCACCCTCGCCTGCTCCTTCCTGTCTTCCCTGTGTCGAGGGGCGGCAGCGCGCCGCTCCTCACTCCTCCTCCTTTCCCCCGACGACTGCTCCCTTGCAGACGCTCCACATGGACGTGTGGGGCCCAGCCCGCGTCCGTGGTCAGGGTCAGGAGAGGTACTTCCTGATTGTTGTTGACGACTTCTCGCGCTACACCACGGTCTTCCCCTTGCGCGCCAAGGGTGACGTCCCTGATGTCTTGATCCCTTGGATCCGCAGATCTCGTCTCCAGCTCCGTGAGCGTTTCCGCTCCGACTTCCCTGTCCTGCGTCTGCACTCTGACAGAGGTGGGGAGTTTTCCTCTGGCCTATTGGAGGCCTTCTGTCAGCAGGAGGGCATTGAGCAGTCGTACACGCTTCCGGCCTCTCCACAGCAGAATGGGGTTGCTGAGCGCCGCATTGGTCTGGTCATGGAGGTCGCTCGTACCTCCTTGAGCCATGCGGCTGCCCCCCATTTTCTGTGGCCGTTTGCAGTCCGATACGCTGCGCATTAGCTCAACCTCTGGCCCCGTGTCTCCTTGCCCGAGACTTCTCCGACACTGCGTTGGACGGGAGAGGCTGGCGATGCGTCGCGTTTTCGGGTCTGGGGATCTCGAGCTTTTGTCCGCGACACGTCCGCGGACAAGCTCTCCCGTCGCGCTGTCCCCTGCGTCTTCCTTGGCTTTGTCCCGGACGCCCCTGGCTGGCAGTTCTACCACCCCACCTCGCGTCGTGTCCTGGCCTCTCAGGACGTCACTTTTGACGAGTCCGTCCCCTACTACCGCCTCTTCCCCTACCGCACTGCCCCGCTCCCCCCCCGCCTCTCTTCCTCGCTCCAGGTGCTGAGGTACCAGACCCCCTCCCCCCTCAGGGTGCCGCTCCCTCAGGTGTGTCCCAGGTAGACCCGGGTGAGCCTGTCGAGGTAGCTGTTGACTCTCGTCCTGCTAGGGGTGCTGAGCCTGGGGGTGCTGCGTCTGGGGGTGCTGAGCCTGGGGGTGCTGCGTCTGGGGGTGCTGAGCCTGGGAGTGCTGAGTCTGGGGGTGCGGAGCCTGGGGGTGCTGAGCCAGGAGGTGCGGAGCCTGGAGGTGCTGAGCCTGGGGGTGCTGAGTCTGGGGGTGCTGAGCCTGTGCGTGCTACACCTGGAGGAGCCCTCTCCTCCCAGCAGCTGCAGGAGAGGTACCTCGAGTACTGCCGCCTCCGGAGAGGTGCTACTGGAGCTCGTCCCGGTACTTCCCCTCCTACCCAGGAGCTCCCCCCCATTCAGCAGATCCGCGAGTGGTACACACGGCGCTGCAGTCTTCGGAGTGGTGCTCCTGGTGCTGCGGACCCTGGGGGTGGCGCTGCTGCTGGTGCTGAGGACCCGGACGTTGGAGCTGCTGCTGGTGCTGCGGACCCGCCTGGTGGAGCTGCTGCTGGTGCTGAGGACTCGGACGTTGGAGCTGCTGCTGGAGCTGAGGACCCGGGCGGTGGCGCTGCTGCTGGTGCTGAGGACCCGGACGGTGGAGCTGCTGCTGGTGCTGAGGACTCGGACGGTGGAGCTGCTGCTGGTGCTGAGGACTCGGACGGTGGAGCTGCTGCTGGAGCTGAGGACCCGAGCGGTGGCGCTGCTGCTGCTGCTGAGGACCCGGGCGTTGGAGCTACTACTGGTGCTGAGGACCCGGCCGGTGGAGCTGCTGCTGGTGCTGTGGACCCGGACGCTGGAGCTCCTACTGGTACTGAGGACCCGGCCGCTGGAGTCTCCTCTGCTTCTGGAGACGCTGCGCGGCCGCGACCGTACTTCGTACCGCTCCTTCAGCAGGTTCTTGGGCAGGCTCCTCCTCCCTGTCCTCCTCCCTCCGTAGAGTGTCCCCCGCCTGTCCAGCCGCAGTCACAGTTACCGCCTACCTCGCCTCTCCCTGCTCCCTCTCCTTACACTGGTCCCACAGGAGGTCTTACAGAGCGTCGTGAGCCTGAGTCTCGTCCTGCGTCGCCTGTTCGTCCTGCTTGCACTGGTAGTCGTGTCCGTCGTGAGCGTCCTCCTCCTGTCCCAGGCACTCACTACATGACTCTGCGTCCCTCTACTGCTCCTCAGCGTGTCCCTCTACCGTCTCCTCCTGCGTCCTCTTTGCCTGACGTTCCGGACCCTGAGTCTGACCGGTATCGTGCTGAGCACCCTACTGTCACGCGTCTCCTTGCTACTGTTGTCACTGACCCTACCTTTGAGTCCTCGGCTGCGTCTGCTCTGGTCGCTGAGTTGGTTGACTTTGCTGCTGCCTGTCGTCTAGACTACGCTGCTAGCCTTGTTGCTGAGTCTGAGTCTGAGTCTGTCTGTCCTCCGTCCGTCGGGGGTGAGTGTGCTCTTGGCACGGACGTCCTTGAGGACAGACAGGAGGAGTTCCAGTGTCTTGCTGCTGCTTTGCCCCATCTCGTGTCCTTGCTAGTTGCCCCTGAGGGAGACCCGGATGCACCAGACATCCCGACCCCGCGCACTTACGCTGAGGCGATGGCGGGTCCCTACTCCTCTCAGTGGCAGACAGCCATGGACGCCGAGATGGCTTCCTGGAAGTCCACACGCACCTACGTCGACGAGGTTCCCCCTCCTGGGGCGAACATCGTCAGTGGCATGTGGATTTTCAGGGTGAAGCGGCCGCCGGGTTCTCCGCCTGTCTTCAAGGCGCGTTACGTGGCTCGAGGCTTCAGTCAGCGAGAGGGAGTTGACTTCTTCCAGACCTTCTCCCCCACCCCGAAGATGACTACTCTTCGGGTGCTGCTGCACATAGCCGCTCAGCGCGACTACGAGCTTCACTCACTTGACTTCAGCACTGCTTTCTTGCAGGGCAGCCTGCACGAGGAGATCTGGCTGCGCCGCCCACCTGGCTTCACTGGGTCGTTTCCTCCTGGTACCCAGTGGAGGCTTCAGCGGCCGGTCTACGGTCTCCGCCAGGCTCCGCGTGAGTGGCACGACACACTGAGGACTACACTTGCGGCTCTTGGGTTCGCGCCTTCTACAGCTGACCCGTCGCTGTTCCTGCGCACCGACACTTTGCTGCCGCCGTTCTACATCCTCGTGTACGTCGACGACTTGGTCTTTGCCACTGCTGACACTGCAGGACTCGCTCACGTGAAGTCGGAGCTGCAGAGGAGACACACGTGCACAGACCTGGGTGAGCTGACAAGCTATCTTGGCTTGCGGATCACCCGGGACAGAGCACGGCGCACCATCACCCTGACTCAGTCACACATGGTGCAGCAGGTTCTCCAGCGCTTCCGCTTCACGTACTCCTCGCCTCAGTCCACTCTTCTGCCTACCGGTCACTCGCTCTCAGCTCTGCCTTCGGATGAGTCCGTAGAGCCGAGTGGCCCGTATCCAGAACTTGTGGGCTGCCTCATGTACCTGATGACCTGCACTCGACCTGACCTTGCATACCCTCTTAGCATCCTTGCACGCTATGTCGCTCCTGGCCGTCACAGGAAGGAGCACATGGATGCCGCTAAGAGGGTGTTGCGCTACTTGTGCAGTACGTCGGGCATGGGGCTTGTGCTTGGAGGGCGAGACCGAGTTGTTCTCACAGGGCACTCAGACGCTTCTTGGGCAGACGACCAGGCCACTCAGCGGTCGTCTCAGGGTTACACCTTCAGCCTTGGCTCTGGCTCAGTTTCTTGGCGCTCTACGCGCTCTTCTTCTGTTCTCGGCTCCAGTTGTGAGGCTGAGATCTACGCCACAGCCATGGCTGCTCAGGAGCTACGCTGGCTGACCTACCTGCTGACCGACCTCGGAGAGCGGCCTCGTTCTCCTCCAGTGCTGTACGTCGACAACAAGGCTGCCATTGCCTTGTGTGAGGAGCACAGACTGGAGCACAGAACGAAGCACATCGCCCTGCGGTACTTCCTTGCTCGAGAGTTGCAGCAGCGTGGTCAGCTTTGTATTCGCTACGTGGCCACTGAGGCCAACACTGCTGATGTGTTCACCAAGGCGCTTCAGCCTCGTGACCATCAGCGCTTCTGCACTCTACTAGGCCTTGTGCCTACTGGACCTCACTTGCTTACCTCTTGACTTTGCTTGTACTGTGATCACTATATATATATATACCTGCATGTTTACTCTTGCTAGGTTGTGATCACTGTATCTCTTGCTCTGTTATAAACCTGCATGTGAACTGGTCTTGTGACCACTAGCTTGTGCTCGGAATTTGTGTGGAATCCTCGAGATCCACCCTGAGCTTGCTTTGCCTTGCTTTGCCCTGACTGGTCGTGTGACCCCCAGGTCTCCCCACTTCGCCTATGGGGGTGTGTCAAACATTATATGTTTATATGGTTGTAGGCTGTAGTGGGTTACGCCTTAGGGGGTACACTGGATTAGGGTTTCCTATTTGTATCCAACCTTCTGTTAGTACAGTCATTCCAGTCCGTTCATTCTGACAGATCACACAAGCACCCGTGCCTAGCCCGTAGTCTAGCTCCCGTTGTAGTAGTTATCTCCGCAGACATGGGCTGTCTGCCAGGATGACAGGAAACGAAGGAGGGGGCACCGATTACAAGAGAAAAGAGAGACGATGGGAGGAGCTTCGGAGGAGAGATTATGCGCGTGAGAGCCCTAGGAGTCAGATAGGAGAAAGGAGAAAGAGAAGGAGGTTTGAAGGGGAGGAGGCACATGGATGATGGAATATGTGGAGACGAGAGCAGGGAGTGCATCTTCTAAGGAGCAGGTGGGTGCTCCATTTGCACGTCTCGTGGCCTGAATGGAGTCTAAGGAATAATATATACCTCCAAGTCAGACCCACAGCTTTGCAAAATGACGATGGTGCTGGTGGGCACAATAACCCTACGGGTTACTGACGATGGTAGTTCTATCAAGTTTGTTTCAACACACCATGCTCGTTTCATCTCACTGTGCTAGTTCCATCTCACCGTGCTCGTTTCATGTCACCACGCTTGTTTCATCTCACCATGCTCGTTTCATCTCATTGTGATCGTTTTATCTCACTGTGCTCATTTCATCTCACAGTGCTCGTTTCATCTCACCGTGCTCGTTTCATCTCACCGTGCTCGTTTCATCTCACCGTGGTCATCTCATCATCCAGTGGCCCCCCATGGTACGACACCGTCAACACATCCTTCGCCACCACGCCCTGCATGCACATGAATGGGAGATTGGTGGTGATGAAAATTGTGTGGGATGTGAAGAGTGGTACAAGTCGGTGAACACATCCTTCGCCATGAGCGACAGATGTGGTGATGATTGTGTGGGATGTGCAGCATAGCATGGTACGACACGGTGAACATGATCAGGTCTCAGAGTGGGGTGACAATCAGCCACATACCTGGCTGGTGGGACACGTCACACGTCCCCGCTGCCAGGCGAACCACTTCTCAGCAGCAGCAGCAGCAGCAGCAGCAGCAGCAGCAGCAGCAGCAGCAGCCGCGATAGAGTCACAGCAGCAAACCATCACTGCGAGCAGCGGCCCTGATCCCGCGACAGCCACTCCAGCCACTCGAGGAATACCCGCGACCAGCAGGGAGGAATCAGTAGAAACTACCAGCCGGGGAGCACGGAGCTTGGAGCGGCAGCAGATAAGATAGCAGGTGGTGGTGAGAGAGGAGGAAGGGAGGCTTGAGGACCCACAGAGTGGTGGAGAGGTGAGCAGAGGAAAGGCTGGGTGCTGGGTGCTGGGTGCTGGGAGGCTGGGAAGCTGGGGAGCGTTAGGGCGGCCGGATGGTTAGGGCTTGGCTTGGCTGAGCTTGGTGGGAAAAGGAACTGGTGCGGCTGGAGTGGGAGCGATGGGCATACAGGTGAAGAGCGACCTCGGACGGCGGCGCATTGACTAGGTCAGGGCAGGGCAGAGCTGAGCAGGGCAGAGCAGAGCGGAGCGAAGCAGAGCAGGGCAGAGCAGAGCGGAGTGGAGCAGAGCGGAGCGGAGCAGAGCAGAGCAGGGCAGAGCGGAGCGGAGCGGAGCGGAGCGGAGCAGGGCAGAGCGGGGCAGAGCTGAGCAGAGCTGAGCAGAGCGGAGCGGAGCAGAGCTGAGCAGATCGGAGCGGAGCAGGGCAGCACGGGGGGGCATGTTGCAGAGCAGACGGCATGATGGCGGAGCTGAGCTCGACGGCTGCTCGGTATTTCCGCCATCGTTGGACTTGGTAACGCGCTACCATGGCAACCAGCCTTTACGGCAGGCCGCGTCGTGTCGCGACGCTGCACCTTCTACAACGGCTGTGCGAGGAAAGCGATCGCGGTGGTGACAATCGCGATGGTGACAATCGCCGAGCTTAAATAACACGCTACCACGGCAGGCCGCGTCGTGTCGCAACGCTGCACCTTCTACGGCGGCTGTGCGAGGAAAGCGATTGCGGTGGTGACAATCGCCGAGCTTAAATAACGGCAGGCCGCGTCGCGTCACGAGCAATAAGATTGAGGTGGTGACGGCAGATGTGCAAGGGACGAAGATTCGCGACGAGGGTGGGCGAACCGACTCGTGGGGGCTTCATACGGGTCGCCCGTCGCCCGTCGCCCATCGCCCGTCGCCCATCGCCCGTCACCCGTGACGGCTGCTGTGGTGGTGTTTCCTATCTTCCCCCTCCAACCTGCGCCAGCTCCCCCACGGCGCAGGTTGTCCGCGGAGCGGTCAATCTGGGGTCAAATTTCGTTGACCCTGGGTTGACGCCCGCCTTACCTTCGCCTCATCTTCCTCACATTTTTCTTCCGCGTGGCTGCCGAACTGGGCCCTAGTCCTAGCTAGACCTGCATTTCGACCGTTTCATCTATTTCCAGATAGATAATTGGCGAGTGGTAACCAGTTCGCCAAGTGTTTCCCCAGCGTGAACAGTTGACGGGGACGCCGGTTACCGTGTCGTTCAGCGTGAACACACGCGACTAACCGTTAGATCGCAAGCGGCTGACGACAGCCGCGCGAAAAACTGCAGTGTAGTGGATTGTCGAAATTCTGTCAGTCTGTATAATTGTTTCTTTGCCTTTCTTTCAATGCAATGTTGTATTAGTGAATTATGTTAATGATGAGGTGGTTTTGAAGGGGGTTTTTTATGATTGAAAAGAATGAAGCATGTATTAAGGTATCTATTCAATGCATTCTCAGTGGTTTTTTTGCAGGTATGGCTATACAAATGGCTGAATTGTGGAGCTTGAAATGGTCAGTTTTATGGGGTTTTATGGACGTATGGTTGGTTTTTCATATTTTTTTTGGGGGATTCTGTCTCCCCAAGTACTTCTCTACTTGTTTTAATCCTTGTTGAAAGATTGCAACAATGTGTACTTTTTGGTTCTTGTTAGCCAACTCAAGTATGTCAGTGTCAGAATGAAGAATGGATGATGCATTGATGTTGGTTGGGGTACATATAGCTAACCCTAAGTTTTGTACCCCCTAAGACAAACCTCACTATAGGCTACAACATTTGACACACCCCCATAGCCTAAGTGAGGGGTGTCTAGCAGAACCAAACGAGTACGGTCACAAGACCAGTCCAAGAAGTAACAGAGGTATATAGAAAGCAAAGTAAACAGTACACTCAAGCCTAAGCAACACGAGAACCAGTGTCAACAAGGCCTAACTGCACACAGCACCTCTGGTGGTCACAAGGCGGAAGCGCCTTGGTGAAGATGTCTGCAGTGTTGGCCTCGGACTCCACAAACTCAAAGCGAGCCTGTCCACGCCTCTGCAACTCTCGCAGAAGAAAGTACCTGACGTGAATGTGCTTCACTCTGCTCTCCAGTCGTGGCTCTCGACAAAGGAGAATAGACGCCTTGTTGTCAGTGAACAAGGTCGGTGCAGAGCTCGGCCGCTCACCAAGGTCGGTGAGCAAGAAGGTCAACCAACGCAGCTCCTGTGCCGCCATGGCACCAGCGTAGATCTCAGCCTCAGCTGTAGAGGTCGAGACCGAAGAGGAGCGCGTGGACCGCCAGGAAACAGCTCCAGAACCCAGGCTGAAACAGTACCCCTGAGTAGACCTGTGAGTCTCAGCGTCGTCAGCGTAAGAGGAGTCACAGTGACCAGTAAGTACGACAGACTGCTGCCCTCCAAGAACTAGCCCCACGCCTGACGTCGTCGCTAGGTACTTCGCCACCCTCACAGCTGCTGTCCAGTGAACAGGACGGTGTCTCCCTGGCGCAACAAAGCGCGCAAGAACGCTGAGAGGGAAGGCGAGGTCCGGGCGAGTACAAGTCATCAGGTACATGAGGCAACCCACAAGCTCTGCGTAGGGACCACTAGGCTCGAACGGCTCGTCAGGAAAGGGTCCAGTGAGTCTGTGGTCAACAGCAAGAGGTGTGCACTGTACTGTGGAGTGCTGAAGCCCGAACCGCTGAAGGACCTGCTGCACCATGTGCGACTGTGAAAGTGTAATGGTGCGAGCAGCTCTGTCCCTGGTGATCTGCAGGCCAAGGTAGTGGCGCAGCTCACCAAGATCAGTGCAGGTGTGTCTCTTCTGCAGTTCGGACTTCACGTGTGCCAAAGCAACCCTGTCAGGGGTGGCGAAAACAAGGTCGTCAACGTAGACCAGAACAAAGAAAGGTGTGGGGCCACGACGAACGAACAGCGACGGGTCAGCAGAAGACGGCTGGAACCCAAGGTCAGACAGGGTAGAACGCAGGGTGTCGTGCCACTCACGAGGAGCCTGACGAAGACCGTAAACCGGTCGCCTCAGCCTCCACTGGGTCCCAGGAGGGAAAGAGCCAGTGAAGGCAGAGGGACGACGCAACCAGACCTCCTCGTGAAGACTGCCCTGAAGGAAAGCAGTAGAGAAGTCGAGAGAGTGTAACTCGTAGTCTCTCTGTGCTGCTACGTGTAGTAACACCCGAAGAGTGGTCATCTTCGGGGTGGGCGCGAAGGTCTGAAAGAAGTCAACTCCCTCGCGCTGACTGAAACCTCTAGCCACGTAGCGCGCCTTGAAGACCGGAGGAGATCCCGGTGGCCGCTTCACCCTGTAGATCCACATGCCGTCGACTACGTTCGCCCCCGGAGGGGGAACCTCATCGACGTAGGTGCCTGTGGATCTGTAAGAGGCCATCTCTGCGTCCATGGCAGCTCTCCACTGAGAGGCCCAAGGCCC